GCTGCCTAAAATTTTTAGAATCCACCCTTCATTCCATGTTTCCCAGTTGAAACCTGTGCATGTCAGTCCTCTGTGCCCTCCGGCTGACCCCCCTCCTCCCGCCCGCATACGACCACACAGTGTTTACCGTCAGGCGGCTGCTGGATGTACGATGTCGGGGTCGGGGGTTTCAGTACCTGGTTGATTGCTCTCTCTCTCTCTCTCTCTCCTCTCTGGTTTTGTGTGTGTGTGTCTCGGGGTGTGGTTCCCTCCAGCTCCTTCCTGGTTCCACTCCACTCCTCCTGCTGACTGCTGCAGCCAGCACACCTGAGTTTCATCTTCTCAGCAGCCCAGCAGTACTTACAGCAGTACAGTACAACCCTGGTTTTATAGTCCCTCCTCACCAGATTATTCAGTCTACCTGAGTGGTATTCATCTAGGCCTCTTTATTACGTGTTTGCTTCCTAGTTGCTATTTCAAACCTCAGTTTAACCTCACTCTCCTTGTACCTCAGCTCCGGTTCCATCCTTCCCTTCCACAATGGACCAAACTGAGTCATTCACCACCTGTCTGTCTCTCAGCAACCTCTTCAGCCCAGCAGCCTCCAGTCCAGAACCTCTGCTTCACCACTCCTCACCTGCCAGACCCCCACAGCCTTCTCCAGTTCAAACCAAGCTACAATAAAATCCAATCCACCTGCACCACTGAGTTGTGTTCTGCTTTTGGGTCCTAAAGAAACATTTTAGTCAGTTATAACAGTGTCATGTGGGTTGAGAGGCTCTTTTGGGTTTGCATCTTGATGTTCCACACACTCACTGCAAGATCTGCAAACTATTTTGATGTCACCATTCATTTTTGTCCAATAAACACTTTCTTGTGCGAGGTGATGTGGATATCTGATTCAGGATATCTTCAGTCATGGTCTGAAATGAGTACCTCCCTGCCCTTGAATATGACTCCTGATTCCACTGCAAGTTCATCTCTAAAGGACCAATAAGCACACAAGGTTGTTGGCAGGTCTTCTATCCTTTCTGGCTACCCTTGATCAGTTCCTTTTAACACACTGAATCTAGTGACCTTGGCAGTTTCTACACGGAGAGCTTCCTGTTTTCCAGATGAGAAATTTGTTATGCCGATGGCGTGCAACATTGAATCCTCAATTTCAGCATTCATTCCATCGATGTGCTTGTCCAGCTCAATTCACTGTGGTTTTCAGGGTTTGGCAACTGACTGAGAGTGTCCGCAGGTACCATTTGTGCTCTAGGCCGGTACCTGACTTCATAGTTGTACCCCTGTGTCTTAATCAGCATGAGCTGTAGACATGATGGTGCAGCATACAGTGGTTTTGCACATATGGTGACGAGTGGTTTGTGATTTGTTATCACATGGAATGACTTCCCATACAGATAGGTGTGATATCACTGCATTCCATAAACAATGGCAAGCATTTCACATTCTATGTTGCTGTATCTTAGTCTGTCAGTGTTTTAGGACCAAAAGCAATTGGTCTGTTGTTCTGCACCAGCACTATATCCAGGCCTTCCTGTAACACTTCTACTTCAAAGGTTAAGGGTGTGTTTGGATTACAGTATTTCAGGCAGGCGTCCTCAGTGACTGTTGATTTTCATATCCTAATAGCTCAACATTCCCATGGACCTATGTAGCTCATCTTGGAGGGTTGCCATTTTCTGTATGTCTCTTAGCTGGGTTTGGTTTGATGTCACTCTCTGCTGTCTGTCTGATATATCATTGGCTATACTGACCACACCTTGGAGATCCTTATCTCCATTTTGGTCCATTTTGGCCTGGAAGAGATCACGGGAGACACTTAATCCAAATGGCAAGCGTTTCCACCAGTATCTGCCAACTAGAGTGCGAAATGTTGTCCTCATCCAGTTGTATGGACCAATAGCCTGCTTTTGCATCAAGCTTGCTAAATATTTTACATTGCAAACTTTGGGTTCAGCTCCTCCACAGTTGGTATCTTGTGTGAACATCTTTTAAGGCTGGCATTTAATTTCCGTGGGTCTCAACATATCCTGAGGGACATGTCCTTTTTGTGGCATATGGAAGACTGCAGCACCAGTCTGTGTTCTCCTCCATCTTCCGTAGAACATCTTGTTCCACAAGTTTGTTCAGCTCTTTCTGGAGCTTGTAATTGATGTGGTTGCTGCATCTTTGTGGTGGATCAATAAATGATTCTGCATTCTCTTTCAGGAGAAGTTTCTCACTGCCAAGTTTTTTCAAACTGGTTAGGGTACACTTCCTTTCAGATCTGCACTAGTTGATATTTTTGGTAGTTTTGTTTGTTTTTCCTTTGTTTTTTCTGGCTGTCATTTCCATTCTCTTTCACAATATCAACATGTACAGTTACAAGATTTAGCATTCACTTGTGGGTAGTCCAACTACAGTTGGCCCTGGTAAATCCACAACAAAGAACATGGCATCGACCCATGTAGATTCCTTATATTGGCATGGAATATTAATAGTTCCAAGGCAAGGGATCTCATATCCGCTTTACACAGATAGCTTTTTGTAGTTCTTTTTTAGTTTTTTATAGGCACTAGATTTGTAGTCATTTGTCTGAATGTGTGCAGTGCTAGGGTATTCCCCGATGCACCTGTGTCAATTTTCAGATGAAGTGTGTGTCCATGACCTGGTAGGCCAGGTGGTCTCATGTTTAGGGTTGAATATGTGAAATCTCTGGTTAGTCTGCTATCAATGCTATTCATGCACTTTTCACTGATGGTGATGGAGTAGAAGTTTCTTTGGTACATGTTCTCTTCATCAGGCTCTTTGCTGTCTACAACATCAATGTTGGACTGCTGCTTGTGATAATTTCTGGACATCTGAAATCTGGGATGTTTGTTTCGTGGTGGTCGAGACTTCTTTTTGCAGCATCCTGCCCAGTGTACTATTATGCCACAGGCACAGCATTCATCTTTATATGCTGGACACTGATGTGACTTATGGCTTGAACCACAATTCTGGCATGTCTGCCCTATCTGTTCATAATATGGACTTTCTTAGTATCTTCATCTCCGAGAATATTCTCAGTCTTCATCTCCGATGCCACAACATATTTTCCTTGCTTGTTTGACTTTGTCTATTATGTCTTCATCTTCCAGGTAAAGAGACATTTTTTGTTTTAAAAGAGAAATGGCCTCACTTAAATCAGGATCAGACCAGTTCATTGCCAGTATGTGACTTGCTGCTATGTCCACAGTATAGTCTGTACACAGTTAGCTCCCGCTAGCTTGCTCCTGCTAGCCTGCTACAGCTCGCACTCAACACCTCCGAGTGGCAGAAATTATCCTCGGACAATCCTGACTGTGAACCTCGTCATATCAACCCAATCCTGGTGACGTATCACTACGCCTTAACACTACGCATGTCCTAGATATATTTCACAACAATAACCAATTTGTTTCTCAGCAGGTGTGTCACTGAGTGGGGAAAATCCGTTCGAAACATGAACAGGGTGGTGGTGAACCATGGGCTTTGGTTTAGGATTATCAGAGACAGTAGAGAAACCGAGACGCTTAATTTCCGTTTACCAGAACTGTGTCCCATTTCATACCATTCACCTGCAATGTGGTATCTTCTGTATAGAAGGGATTATGCTTCTTCTTGTTACAAACAGTCACCCTACCGCCCTGGCTTTCCAGCTGCTTGGGAACTGCTGGGGGGAGAGTAGGAGCTACAGAGGGAGCTACACTGGGTCAGTCCACACCAGCTACAAGGGGCTGGCTGACTAAAGTAGCTAATGATATGGTTCCCAAGGTGCAGAGCTGGGCTTCCAATTCACTAAGCCTCACCTCAGCAAAACAAATGTCTGCAATTAAACTATCACACATACCATTAGCACCCAAAGTGAGAGGGAGAGAGAGAAGCCATCGCTAGCTGCTACGCTAACGCAACTAGCAGATTTTAATAGCATGTAAACAGCTGTGATTTAGCAGAAAGTCGCTACGAGAGGGAGAGAGCTGTGATTGATCGACCAGAAATAGTGTATGTTTAAATGTACAACAGGTAATTAACTGCTGTAGTGAAAGAAAACAGCTAAGATAGCTGAATTAAGACAGAGCAGCAATGCATGCTAACACCAACACCAGCAACAACAACCTGAAGTGACACAATACGCTTGACGCAGCACACCAAACTGATCTTCTGTATAAGCACATTAGATACAGAGTCTGAATGAGGAGTTTGCTCTTATTTCTTTTCTGTAATGTCTCATTCACACCATCGGGATCAGTACATTAACACCAGGCTGCTTTTTATTTCTATTTTATTTATTTACTTGCACATACACATACTGTCTACATATTCATTCTAATAGGGTTGGGACCACACCTAACAAGCTGAGTTCATGGAGGGCCTTTTCTGGCCACTTGAGGGCAGCAAAAAGCTGTAAACACGACTTCTGACATCTATAAAGTTATTAATATGCATTAGCTCATTTATACATGATTCATTTTGGAATGGTGATGGTAATGATAATATTTATTTACTTTTTGCTCTGGTTTGGTCAACCAGTTCCTAAGAAAACATCTGGCTCATCTTTTGAATATTTAATAAATTCATGACAATCTTATATATGTAATGAGATTAAAGATTAAAATATAAATGGACTGCTCTTATATATCACTACCACTCAAAGCACTTTATACCACAAGCCATATTCACCCAGTCACACACATTCATACAGCACTTCTTCTTCTTCTACACACACATACAATGATGGAACAGCCACCAGAGGCAGTATCATAGCACACTGACACGTGGACTGGAGGAGCCAGGGATCAAACCACGACCTTCTAATTAGTAGACGACCTATTCTACCTGCTGAGCCACAGCTGCCCAGGTATGTGAGTCAAAGCAGTGTACATACTGTGATATCTTTATACATACCACTATATTCTGTTGTAATCTGTTACTGTATACTTAGTACATCTTTGTTTAGAGCGTTGACATGTTCTCTGTGACTGGGTGATTACCTGACCACACAGACATCTCACCTGTTTTAGAGCCTCCTGTTTGCTTTTGCTCAGCTCCTCGTATTTAAGTTTCCACTGACTCAGTTCAGCCTCCAGCCTCTCGATGATCTTACTCAGAGCCAGTTTGTCTCTGGGGACGACACAGACACACATGAAGAAACTCTCCTGGAAATGTCAGCCCCATCTACAGCCTCCCTTTATGACTCCAGCACATTACTCTGCTAGTAGCACATTACACTGTACACTATCTGGGCTCTATTGTGAAGGGGTATGACAGCAGTGTGTGGCTTCAGTTATAAACGCAAACAACATAAGCACCTCCTAAACCACTGCATACCTGTCAAGTCATACATTTTACCTCCTGTTTTTCTACTTTACTGTCATCTCATGGCTATGTGCTAAAACATCTCACATTTTCAAGATTTTAGACTTGAGGCTTGAGCAATATCCAAAATGTAATATCTCCATTCAATCTAGCCCAAATATCATGACAGATGATATTATACAAATTTTTGACTGGATGTAGAATAAGCAACGGTTGAAGACTTTGCATTGGTTACAGTTTACACTGGTCTTTACAGGTCAACTACACTCATAACACTACAGCTGCTCCTGTGAGAAAACTGCTGCAAAACTACAAAGAATACAGAACAGTAGCTCTGTTTTCACTTTGTCATTATGGGATATTGAGTTAAGATCAGAGTGAAAAAATGAATTTAAAAGATTTATTTAAAGGCTGAAACATGCTTATGAAGGGTGTGTGTTTCTGATACTTTCTGAATGAACTGTATGATCCTCAAGTAATGTACCTGAAAACTGTTTTTGTCTGGTAAATTTCTACTGCTGAGAGAGAGACAGCTGGTCCTGAGGACAGGAGATAGCCAGATGGTGAAAAGTAAATGCTTCAGTAAAACTTAAGCACCACTGTTACATAAATGTAGTTGAGGTACAATATTTCAGGTAAACAGTATCAATGAATGAACGTTACAATCCACCGTGGGTTTAAGAAAAAAGTTAACTTGAGTTGGACTAAATGAATTCTCTACTGCTGCTGGTACAACTGATGTCATTTCACATTTCATACAGTTACACTCAGTTCAGACAGTGTGTGCCCCTGTTGTCTCTCTTACTCTCTCTCTTTCAGGAGGACTTTCTGGGACTCATCCAGGCGAAGCTGCAGGGCATTCAGTTTGCTGGAGTCTTCCTCTGCTGTGCTCATGTCCTCCCACAGCTGCCTGCTGCGCTCCTGTCGGCTCAGACCGGAGGATGAACGCGAGCTGGACGTGTTCACGCCACAGCTACCGCGACCATCCCAGGCCTCATGACTGTCAGCACCCAGGGCCCTGGAGCACAGGACAGAGTCCAGCATCTCCAAGTCCTGACAGACACAGAGAGGGGGAGGAGAAAATTACACCAGATTTGTTGATGTAGGGGGCATACTACAGGCTTGTATACTTTACTACTGAAAGCCAGTATAATGGTGACATTGCTACATCCAACAGGGAAGAAACACTAGCACAGTGCAGTGTCACCAGAACAAATAGAAATGATGGTCAAAACAACAGAAAATCCCCAAAGGTTTAAAAACCCTTAATTCTCCTTTTTACAACAGATGAAGGAACGAGTGACATAATGGCAGATTATCTGGTTATATGAAGAAAACATGAAATACACAAAAATAAATGCAGTATACAGCATGTTTTAAGAAGCCTCACTACACCACTATTCCTGATGCATATCATATAGGCTGTAATTCTGTCCATCATTTTTGATATTGGATTATGATATTTTATTGGGTTCTCTTGTATTGATTTAAACTAGTTACTAGTAAGAAGAGGAGTTTTTATTCCTCCACTCCAGCGACAGCCAGACCGTCTGTCCCATTCTCATGGACTGATATCTTAGTAATACATTGATGAAATTTCTTCAAATTTGGCACAAACATTCACTTGGACTGATTAGACTTGGGTGGTCAAAGGTCAAAGTTAAAGGTCACTCTTACCTCAGAAAACACTTTCTAGCCATAACTCAAGACTTCACACAGCAATTATGACAAAATTCCACACAAATGGTTCATATTTAATATGACTGGATAAACAGGGATGTAACCTGAAAGTAGTCTGAGTGGAGGAGGAAGGCAACCACAATGAGGTGATTCTAGTTTTTTAATTATTTTCCATCTATTACTTTTCTATATAATTTCTACATATTTATCTATTCTTGCATATGTTTTCTATTTTTGTAAAAGTTCAAACAATTTAACAGGGACATATAGCTCTTAATTTGAATTATTTACAAGCTATTTGTCCTCGATAAATTCAGATTCTTTAGATGTACTGAAATGTTTATTGTGGTTGGTATTGTTTAAGAATTATCATTATTTATCATTTATTGTCTTAAGTATCTAAACATTATCGTAAGTTGTATTTACTATTGCTTGTTGTGTAGCACTTTGATAACAGTTGTTGATGTAGGAGTTTGTTCTTGTACGTTTAGTTCTCTTTCAACATCCTTTTCGGTATCTCACTATGGGACACGCTCCCTGCGCTGTCCCCCAGAGGCTCTTTTACAATACGCCAGTCTTGACTGGCAGAAAGACGAGATGTTGGCTCCCTAGAGGAGGGACTTCCTCCTTCTATAAAAGTCTGACGTCACGTTATCTCCTCAGTCTAAAACCTCTTCTTGCTCCCAGAAGCAGCCTCTCAGATGACAGGTGTAACTAACAGGCTAGCAGCACAATTCACAGAGCAAGCTAACCACTCAGTCGCCGAACGCTACATGGCGCTGCATTGCTAGCTGAGCATAGTAGCTGGACTGTCACCAAACAGCAGTTGTTGCAGCTAGTCACCATACTAGCTGCCCACCGCTTCCTTTGTAACAGAGCTAATTTGACAGAGCCGGAGCCTAAACCATCCCTCACCAGGGACAACTACAAGCAAACTATGAAGGCGTGCGCATGCGGTAACAAAATGGGTGGGGCAGACACCCATTCTGTATGTGCTGCGTGTCTAGGGCTGCAACATGCATTAGCATCCCCGGTTAGCTGCGAGCACTGTGCACTTCTCTCCGTCAAGACTCGCCAACGCAGCTAGCTAGTCTGTCTGGAGTCAATGGAGGGCACCCAGGGAGACACCATCCTTACTGGAGCCAGCTGGGACGAACAACTCAACACTGTTGCCCCGCTGTCCGACCCTGATGAGCACGAGGCCAGCCTGATGGCGGAGCATGGTGACTTTGTGGTGGATGACAAGGGACGAGTCCATTAGCCTCAGTTCAGAGGGCAATGAGGAGGGCATTGAGCCCTTTACAAGCCTACCAGCTGCAAAGCTGGCAGGCGAGGGTGGCATGTGCAGCGAGTCTCCAAACCCGACTGCCAGCATGGACCTGCATGAAGTCTGTAAGAAAGCGGCTGCAAAGCTGGGCATTGTGTGGCATAAAGTCCTTCCCGAGACCACCATGTCTTGATACGAGGGAAAAAGGCTTCTCAAAGCCTCAGAAGTCCGCCATGACTTCAGCAGGCCCCGCCCTACCCTCCAAAGTCGACTGCTTTCAGTCATCACTAATTGAAAAAGGCTACAAGGCGACAGCCATGTCAGTGAAGGCACTGAACCTACTAGCTTACTGCATCCCCAAATGTCATCTTAACCACCGGCAGGTGGCCGTGGCCACAGCAAGCAACTTAAAGGTGCATTGGCCAAGAAACCATTTACTCCTCGCGTGATTTCAGGGGGCCCCTCCTGTAACCCATGGAGCGCTACCTAGTGTGCTGTCACCGGGGAGGGAGAACAGGCTCAGCCAGATGTCTGTCCCTCACCCCCCAAGAGATATTCTGTTCCTGAGCACTGCTTTTCTGACCATGGGCATTGCCATGGGGACGATCATGGCAAGGAAAGTTGTTACGACAGATGCCTCTCAACAAGGGGTTGCAACTTCCCGCCACTCTGCGCATTCATTCCACTCATGGTATAGCGGCGTCCTGGGCACTGTTTCAGGATGTTTCTGTTGAGGACATATGCCAAGCTGCCAGCTAGGCAACGCCTCACACTTTCACTAGATTTGCCAGTTTGGATGTTGCGTCTGTCTGCCAGTCAGGACAGGCATAGTGTAAAAAAGCTTTTGGAGGACACCACGGGGAACATGTGCCATTGTGAGATACTGAAACAAATGTTTCAGAGAACCGGGGTTAATTTGTTAACCTAAACTTTTACTGCTTGTTGTCTTGAGTTGCTGATGTGCAGCCACACCTCCTCCTGTTAAGATTCAGTGTTTGGGTGGTTCATTCACAGATGCACCTCATGAAGCAGTCACATTTAAACCTCACCTGTATATGAATTGTCTGATCTACTACTGTTTTTTACGCTGATGATGGCTTATAGCTGAAATGCATTTGTTGATTGCCCCATATTAATTAATAAGACTATTTAACTGTAAGTGCCGGCATGTTTTAAGTCTGGTGAAATTGCAGTGAATTTCCTGCAGTGTAATGAAATTATAATGTTCATGAACAAATCATGAGAGTCCATGAGATCTTAATGTGGTCAAAGACTCATCATATTTTTCATATCCACATATGCAACATGTAACAGATGTAACCATTCTTTAACAGCTTGGTTTCAGTAGTTTGGTCTAGTGGTGGGCAACATTTCCCTATCACATTCTGTGTAATTTTGTATCACATTATATTAGATTTACATCATAAATAAACTAATAGTTTATGGAGAGTTTACTGAGAAACCTTTTATGGATGAATCAGCAGATGTGTCTGTTTGTGGTTAATTCAGTCAGTTAAATACCTGGTATTAAGATACATCATCACACTGATGCTAAACTCATATATAAATCCATTATTGTCATAAAACTGTCCTGTTCATTGATTTAAAATGTTGTCTAAAAAAGTCTAACACAAGCAGAGATAATTAAGGTCTACCATGGTTTACAAGGCAGTGCAATAAGTCTGAAACAAAGTTATACAGTCCCATGGCAAATAAAGAGGAGGTGATGGTGATGGTGATGGTGATGGCGATGGTGATGATGATGATGATGATGATGATGATGATGGCAGCATGAAAGATAAGCACTGGTTTAGGTTAGCTCTCCTGTGAGCAGTTCGAGTGAAATTAGCCGGTGTGACTGAACCTTTATCTGGACCGTCTATCCCAATGTCTTGTCAAACGCTTTCCAGCCTACTTGGCCACAGATAAAAACTTTGAGTCATTGAGAATAGAAATATTACACCAAATCAGAATGTTGTTACATGAGCCTCTGTGGATGAGGACTTCAGACTCCATGTCCCTGAAATAATCCTCAGCTCCCATTACTCCTTCTACAACATCAGCAGGGATCAAGTCTTCCTCTCATTTTCAGTCCCAGAGAATAAAGTATCAGTCTCATTCCAAGCTACCATCATCTCTGGTATGGATTGATGAGAAGCTCTTTGCTTTTGAACGGGTTGTCAGAAATATGGGCTTCTCCTACGACAATATTTCTGTTTTCTGTCCTCACTGTTTTCCCTCTGCCTCTGTTCCTCCCTCTGAACACTGTGAATCAATCTAATCTGTTTCCTCTGGTGGATCAGCTAAGGTTTCTGCCAGTGTGCAGTCAAAGCAGAGCCCTCAGACTCTCGGCTGGATTCTCATGATCAAACATTTTCACATCTCATTTTATTTAATTGCCTGAACAGAAATTAAATTGGAAGTGTGGAGCTTTTCCTCCTCTCGACACAGTAAATCTGTCGGCTTTGGCAACAGTAAAAAATCCAGAAGTTTCTCCATGCTGTAACTTTCATAACATTTGCCAGATGTAAAATGTGATGTCTCCCACAGGCTCCAAAACCCTGCATTTTTCTTTGAGATAATCATCCTGCTGCTTTTAAGAGTTCAGCATAACAATCTAATTCTGTCACTGAGAGCTGTGAAGATATCTGTGGTTGAAAAATATAACATGATGGACCCATGAGAGAATTTTATTTAGTGGCAGCACAGAGCTCATTTGCACATCAGGTATGTGATTTTTTTATACATGACAACATGCATTTACATTGGCACAGCAGTACTTTGAGTTAAATGCTAATATCAGAATGCTAAAAGCAAATGCTGAGCAGGTAAAATGCACATTAAATTAGCTAATTATTTACTTAATTAGCACTTAATGCAAAGTACAGCAGAAGCTGGTGAGAGCATCATTAGTTTTGCAGGTTTTTGGTCATAAACCAAAGTACACAACAGATATGTTGGCGTGCTGCTGGCACTAGGGGAAATCAGAGTCCATCCATCCATTTTCTTCCGCTTATCAGGGGTCAGGTCACAGTGGCAGCAGGGTATTCGTCCCTCTCTCCGGCAACGCTTTCCAGCTCCTCCTGGGGGATGCTGAGGCGTTCTCAGGCCGGATGGGATATGTAGTTCTAGGTCTACCCAGGGGTCCCCTCCCAGTTGGACATGCTTGGAGAACCTCCAGAGGAAGCCACCCAGGGGACATCCTGATCAGATGTCTAAACCACCTCAACTGGCTGCATTCGATGTGAAAGAGCAGCGACTCTACTCCGGGCTCCTCACCCTGTCTGAGCCCAGTGTGCGCATTACTGCTGGACCTGCACCCATCTGACGATCTGCTGCTTCATCTTACCTTCACTGTGAACAAGAGAAACTTGAACTCCTTCACCTGGGGCAGTAACTAACCCCCAACCCAGAGGGAACAGTCCACCCTCCAATCCTCAGACTAGGAGGTGCTGACTCTCACACTCAGCTGTAAAATTGCCCCTGTGCACTGGAGGTCACATCCTGATGAAGCCAACAAATGTCCATGAAAATGTCCATGAAAATCCCTAGCTGTGCACCTAGTATGGCTAAAGATGACCAGTTCATCGATACTGAAAGAACAAAACAAAAAGAGCAAATCAAGCTACAATAAGCAAACAGCAATTACCTACATTATCATTACTTTTCATTCCATCATGATTTTTTAGTCGAGCTCTTTTATGCCCCATTACTTTTCAGACATGTGCAACATGTTTCTAGCATCACCTGATGCAAAGCAGATCAACTGTGACTGTGAAACTGACCCAAGGAAAATCTACACAAACACAACATGTTGAGAGATGTTTATGAAGAAGAGAGACCACACCCACGTAGACTTGAGAATATTGACAATATAGACCTGATCGAAAAATGCCCCTGAACAGACTCTAACAGGGAGAACATCAGCAATAACAGAGGCAAAGGTAGCCACAGCTAGAAAGAGCAGCTATATAACAATAATGTCCTCAGACTAAATGTCAAAACTAAAGTCATTTATTGATATTCTTCAAAGACCTATTTTCACCTCTTATACCAACAATAAAATTTTGTAGTCAAGCGATTGACAGACAGAAGAGAATCATTTCCTGAACAGGATCGGTGAATCAAAATCCAAATTAACTGGCATTTGATCCACTTTTACACAGGCCACTGAATCCCTACAACAACTTCTCCTGCAGTGATTACACAGTCTACTACATGAGGAGAACTGATACTCCAGGATAAGACACACTGACAGACCTGTGGCGATGTATTTAGAACCTACACATAATTTCAGGGAAATAAGCCAAGACCTTGGACTTCAGCTGTCTGTGAAGACCACAACCACAGCATCACATTGGAAGACGTCAAGAGTCCTGGACCAGAAGTCAGTGGATGCTCAGAGAGAGATCATGGAGGCGTTCACACCTGAGACAAGAGCCTTTAAAACGTTACAGCCTCTTCTGACAGAGACTGATGGTCATGTTCAGTTGTTCTGTTGTTGCTTTAACCCTTTTCAACATCAATAATAACTGGATAAAAAATTGTTTTTCTGAGAAAATTTAACCATTAAAGTTTTCTGCTTTAGGATGATGACAGACATTCAGTGTTTGAATCAATCAACAAAGCTGTTTTCTATTTTCTCAGAAGCAGATATTTAAGACACACAAGTGACAGATGTAAAGCATCTGACAAATGTTTTACAGGGTTTTTTTCAGTTGCATTATTGGCACACAAAGTGAAGGTAAGTGGAAAACAGAAGTGTAATGCTGCTGTTGTTGTTCCAGGTGTCCCCGGCAGAGGGAGACTTTGTGTAACAGATGTTTGCAACAACACAAACTGTACTGTGCTACATATGGAAGTACTCAGTGTGTGTGAGAACCAGAACAATGGAGGGAGACAGGGTGCAAGGATGTGCTGTGTGTGAGCAACAGTTAGCCACTGCTCCTAACCACACCACCAGCGACACACACAAACACACACACACACACACACACACACACAAATCAGGTCACGTCTGATTTGCAGTAACAGTGATCTTTATGCAACACACATACTTTCATTATGAGGTTGTCGCTCATGTACATGTGTGTATGTGTAGATGTGTTGGTGCATGTTTGTGTGTGTGTGGTGAGATAGTAAAACTGTTAGAAACACACTGGGAGCACAGGAAGAAAAAACACAGGTCAGTGCAGTGTTATCAGATGGGACAGAGTGCTACTGTTAGAATGACTCCACTACCTCTGCTGCTGCTATCAGGACCACAACTACACCACAACTGTTTCTGTGACTATCAAACCACAAGGTTTCTGTCCTTAAAGTCATTATTTTCCTGGACAATTTTAGCTACTAAAGGCTGTATCTATCTAATTTATTGTATTACATTTTTGTATCTAAGCTGCAGTACTTGTTTATATTTCTTTTCTTCTTACTATGTTTATTGTTATACCCAATCACCAAAGCAAATTCCTTTTATGTTGAAAACCTACTTGGCAATAAACCAGATTCTGATTCTTATAATAAGAGTCTGACCATATTATGGAAAAAGTTCCTGCAGAAATAAACCTTTTTGTTAAACAATGAGATCCTTTTTGTTTAACCAGAAACAGTTATTTTATCTTTATGTTCAAAGCTACCAGACTCCATTGACAAAAACAGTAATTTCTTTCAATTGCTTTCAGGTGATTCAATAAAGGCAAACACACTGAACGGCCTTGTGTAATGACACTGCACTCGTTCAGATGCTGCAGGAATTGAATGAACTGAAGGAGAAACTTTTCACACAGTATGAAGTAGCTGTGGATGAAACATACTGTCAGCATCACCCAAATTCATTCATAGATCAACACAGACCGATTTACTGACTCTGCTGCTTCAACTACATGAAATGTTATTTTCTGCAGCCTGACTGTTAAGAGTCACAAGTGCACACTGCACTTTCAGTGATCTGAGTTCCAGAACCTGTTTCGCTCTGACTCTATACTTTCAGTATAAACTACTTGTCCACAGATTCAGAGTGACTGGAGGCTGAAATATGACTTGTCATAGAACTTCATGCTAACATCCCAGACAAGTTTGAATTCTTCACATGAGTGTTTCAGTGTTAATGACGCTAAGCAAAGCAGCAGCGGCTCAGGCCAGAAACAGATGCTTTAGGTAAGGACAGTCTGCACAGAACAGGTTGACAGAAGAGAATTACTGCAGCATCACTCATCACCTCATGGATAAGCATGATGAGTGTGTGGGTGTGTGTGCACACACACTCACACATAATGAACCACCTAATGGGGTCTGATTCTATCAGCTTGGTGGAGACACAGGCTTGCCCACATTCCCTCAGGCTCAGGTCACATTGTTTATGTAGTAGCAGAGGACATGAGCTCACTGATACCAGGGAGACAATCACTATGATCCTTATCTTCATAGACTGATCATCATTATCATCATCATCATCATCATCATCATCATAATCATCATCCTCCTGCCCTAAAGGTACATCAGACCAGAAGTGAGTTCAATCACCAGCTGGTGTCAGCAGCGCATAACACAAACATGCATATTTACATTTAACATTTGAAACATAAAAACAAAAAGTAGGCAGCTGAACCTGCGACTCACAGGATCTACAGCTGCAACTTCTACTTCATTATTGATTAATGATTGTGCGTCCTCAGATCGTCGGTCCGAAACACAGCCATGCTAGTAGCTCTCTGAGTCTGTATTTAAACACACTGGTGTTTTGAATTTAATGCTAAGGTCAGCATGCTAACATGCTCATAATGACATTGTTAGCTCGCTGATGTTTAGCATGTTCACCTTTTTAGTTGAGTGTGTCAGGATGCTAATATTTGTTTAATAGCACTAAATCTACCCTGTGTGGGACTAAATGCGTTTACCATATTTAATGTCAATCATCCAATAGTTGTAGAGATTTTTCAGTCAAAACCATGAGTGTTAACATCAGGGTAGCGCTAGAAGAAAAATTAGGATTCATATTTCATCAATCCTGTCAAAGGTTGTTGAGATATTTCATTCTGACCATTCAGTAGAGACTGATCCCTGCAGCCATGGCACCGTGTGCCGAAAAACCGTGGGGGACCTTTAACAAGAGCAATAATAACATTTCCTATCATGCATGCAGACTCACCTTTTGTTGACCTAGCTTTTGTCTGTCCAAGTCCACGTCCCTTACTGGTTCTGGTTCTGGAGACCCTGGGTGTGCCTCCCCCACCCTGTCTAGCTTGCTGTCATTATGAACCTGAGAGGAATTGGAGGAGGAAGCAGGGGAGAAGGGAGGGATGGATGGAGAGGAGGAGGAGGAAGCACCACACTGGTGTGCAGGGGAGTAAGAGGGAGAAGCGGTGGATGGGGGGGGAGCCGTGTGGTCACCACCGAGACGCAGCGTCTGCTGCCGTAGGGTTTCGTTCTCCGTGGCGAGTTCCTGCCGCTCCCGCCGAACACTGGTCAGCTCCTTGGTGAGGGTGTCCAGCCGCTGTCGCAGCTGGCGAACCTCGTCACGAGCTCGGTTACGCTCCGCGCGAACCTGAGAGACAAAAAGAACACTGCCTGATACAGGATCAACTCATCAGCTCCGGGTCCTCTGGTTTCCCTGAAGATAAAAACCTTTAAAAACAAGCCATGAATATATAGTTTGTTTTCCTAAAACTTTCCTACAAATACTGGACACTCTAGTTTTGACCAAATGTTTCTCTAACAGGAGGAAATAGAGCAATAGAGGACTATTTTCAGCGGTGGATGAATCCACATTTGGTGCTTTAGTGAGTATTTCTGGTGTGTGGGACTGAGTGTTTATAGTAATGAAAGATGTCACCCAGTGCAACAGTGATGTGTTTTTAATAGTTTTTTGGAAACTATGGAGCTGCTATAGCACAGAGGGAAAAGATATATCAGGCTGTGATGGTTAGTAGGAGACATTCAGTGCTGGTTTTGGACTTTTCATGTTTGTTAACAAGAAGAAAAATACAGAATATCACCAGACTTATCCTTTAAGTTAGAGGAAAATTTGTTTCAGTTAAATATTGAAAAACTCCCCATATTCTGTCTCGTACTTCAAGCATTCACTTTCTCAATGTTAAACAAAGACCAACTTATTGTACAAACCTCAACCAACTGCTGTAATTTGTCTAAACACAAACCACATAAACCACTTAAGATCACTAATACTGACTGTGCATGTTCATAACCATGTAAATGTTAAGCAACTCATCAGTTCCTGGAAGAACACAACAAAATATGTTGATGGCAGATATAAATGTTTCCTTAAAATGTTGATTAAAAATAATAATGTTAATAAAAATAATAAAATATAAATGAATAAAAACGAAATGAATATGAACAGTAAAACTTTATAATACGGTTTACAAAACTCTTTGTAGTTACTAAGCAACAAGTGAGGAACAATTCAGGAACCACCTGATGGTTGATGAGTCATTTAGGAGAAATGAAACAGCTGCTTGTATAAACATAGAATAGATTTCCTAACAACAGAATCTTAACTTAAAGTCCACTTACTAACTTTCTCCAGAGTTTTCAATCACATCTAATGGTATTAATTAGCAAATACAGTTTACACCATTTTGAGCAACACTCTGAGATGGTTTAAAAGCTACTGAGAGAGTTAATAATTGGATCTTGAGTGAAGCACTTGGTGTAATCCTTAACTTAGAATATATAATAAATCTAGTTTTATTTTACCCATTTTTTATTTAATTTTTAATCTTCAATTTTCAGTTTTTCTGTTGTTGTTGAATGTTTTGTTGTATTTCAATATAAAGTTGTTTACATCACGTTGAGCAAGTGCAGCAGCCTCAACTAAGAATCATGATCATTATCTGGAGCAGCAGCTCGTCAATTGTTATATATGACGTAAAGTGTATTGTGTCCATTTTACCTCATCAAATTCAATCATTCTTAACATCAGTATAAAACCTGCTTTAATAAGAACAGAGGCAATTAGTTGACAGGGTGACAATGAGGCTACATCTGAACCACATCTGATGACATCACTACAGTAACACATCAGAGACTGGCGGCCCACCTTACTCCACTTCTCTCTCCAGTTGGCGGTGCAGTCCGACCACCACCTCATGGTCTTCTCCATCTGGGCCGCTCGGGCCCTGGCCTCCTCAAGCTCCCTGAGCCTCAGCTCCTCCCTGCTCTCCCAGTCAGCCCCAGCTCCATCACCCATGGCCCCGAGGGATCCCAGCCCAAGGCCTCCCAGTCCAGGTGACAGCAGCAGTGGGGGGCTGGAGCTGGGAGTTCCTCCTGTGGGGCTGGGGGTGTGAGTGAGACTGTCCGGCGAGCGGATCCCCCTATCGGGGCCCAGACCCAGGCTGCATAGCAGCCCACCTCCTGCTGACTTCCCACCTTCGGACAGGTGGGGGCTTGGAGTGTGGTTCATGATGAAGTATGAACGTGAATGGTGGGCAGGATTAAGGGGGTGGAGGGTTGTGGGATTCAGGAGAGCATCATCAGCCTCTTCAGTAACTGATCAACCTGGAGACAAAAACAGCAACAGGAAGAAAATCAGAAGAAAATAAAACATGCATGTACATATGTTTTCCTCATGTTTGTTAACATCAGACCGACGCTGATGAGAAGAAAGAATCTTAGTTTAGAACACCAAAACCACTGACAGACACACTGCTGCTCTTAGAGAAGAAGAGTGTATGTAGAATGAGTGAGTGTATGTGAATAGGTGTGTGTAAGTATGAACCAGTGATTGGTGTGCAGTACTGGTGGTTGCAGCTGATTGGCTCCTGTCAGATGTTCACCAGACATAAGGAACCAAGATGGAGAGAATCACATCTTCCTCCTTTGCCAACAGGCCTCACTATTGTCCTCATCCATGTACCTTTAGTTGTGTCTAGAGCCTTGTTGTAGTTTCAGAGTTCGTAAGGAAGGACTGCCTTTTTTCTTTTCATCACTTTTTCCCCTGTTTCTGTTGTTAGGAAGGTTAGTTGATGTATTTTGGTTTTGGTTACATCTGGGCAGGTTATGTTGGTGTTTTGTTTCTAGATAGATTTGTTTTCTTTGCTATTTTGGCCTTTGTCCACCCTGAAGCTGAAATCCACACTCCTCCTTTTGAAAAGCCCTTTTTAAATAAATACACCAGTTAAAAGTCTAGTAATTTGTTCCTGTGGCTGTGACACACAGGACACCATATAGACGTAGGGTTTCTCCATAATGTAAAAATCCTAAGAGAACATGATTTGTCACGTTTCAGTACCATTGCAAAAATCAGACCATTATCATCTGCCTCTGAATGTATTATTCATGCTTTCATCTTCTACCATAACGACTACTGCAATGCCCTTTTCACTTAGTCAAGCTGCCCTGCACGTCTATGCCTGTACGACATGCAGCAGCCGGGCTCTTAACCAGGACTGGTCATAGATCTCACATCACACTGATTTCATCCTCGCTGCTGCAGTGGCTGCTCAGGATCTATTTGAAGACTCCTTTAATCACCTATAAGGTTCTGCATGGTTTAGCTCCTGCCTACACTACTGAGCAGTCACTTAGGTCATCCAGCCAAAACCTTTTGGCCATACCACATGCCAAACTAAAAGCCAAAGCCAACTGCACTGTTGCTGCTCCAGCACCACAATCTGCAGTTCCCGCAGCTCCAGGGAGCATTTTATTATTTTTCTATTTTTCTGGACCTTTGATTAATTTTAAAGGTACAAAATCATTGCTGACAGCAAAGGGTACATAATTGTACTTTTAACAAGATGAAGGTTCAGGCAGATGATGCTGCAAATCAATGATCACAAAATCTTGATGTAAATAGAGAATTTGGTTTGTTGTAATAAAATAGGCAACAATTTCCATTCAATTCTTGGTCTTGGATAAGCTTCATTAACAATATAGCTGGGTGTGTATTTCAGTGATTCAGCTAGTCTTAACATTGTTGTAATAGTTTTAATAATGTCATGAGGCAGGCAGCCAGTGTTAAAACACTGAATTAATTGAATCTAATACAGTATGTGAGTCACACAAAAATGCATTTTGTAAGTGTACTTTTACTGAACTCTGTTTCTGTTTTGTGTCTGAAACGAAAATGAAACAGTTGCAATTAGTGATTAGAGAATGGCTCCTTAAGTCTCATGCTCCAGCCTATTGTTGAAAAAATTGTTTGGTCAATAACTGGGAATGCTCCTCCTTGAACCGTCACCTTACCGTGGTGGAGGAGTTTGAGAGCCCTAATGACCCTAGGAGCTATGTTGTCAGGGGCATTTTGCCCCTGGTAGGGTCTCCCAAGGCAGATTGGTCCTAGGTGAAGGGCCAGACGAAGAATGGTTCAGAAGATCCTTATGACAAATACTATCAAGAACCCGAGTACCCGGCCCGGAGGGACACCGGGGCCCCGCCCTGGAGCCAGGCCTGGGGTTGGGGCCCGTGGACGAGCGCCTGGTGGCCGGGCCTTAGCCCATGGGGCCCGGCCGGGCCCAGCCCAAACCGGCTACATGGGTTCGTCTCCCAGTGGGCTCACCACCTGCAGGAAGAGTCAGAGGGATCCGGTGCATTGTGGATTGGGCAGCAGACCAAGGCGGGGGCCTTGGCGGTCCGATCCTCGGTTACGGAAACTGGTTTGTGGAACATGGAACGTCACCTCTCTGGCGGGGAAGGAGCGGGAGCTTGTGGAAGAGGTCGAGTGATACCGGCTAGATATAGTCGGCCTCACCTCGACACATAGCGTCGGCTCCGGAACCCACGTCCTTGAGAGGGGCTGGTCTCTCCTCTTTGCTGGAGTTGCTCCGAGTGAGAGGGCCGGGGTGGGCTTTTTGGTGTCCCCCAGGCTCTCTGCCTGTATGTTGGAGTTTACCCCGGTGGATGAAAGGGTTGCGTCCCTGCGCCTTCGGGTCGGGGATCGGGTTCTGACTGTTGTCAGCGCTTATGCGCCTAACAGCAGTTCAGACTACCCGCCCTTTTTGGAGTCCTTGGGACGGGTGCTGGAAAGTGCCCCGAAAGGGGACTCCATTGTCCTACTGGGAGACTTCAACGCTCACGTGGGCAATGACAGCGTGACCTGGAAGGGTGTGGTGGGGAGGAACGGCCTGCCCGATCTGAACCCGAGCGGCGTTCAGTTATTGGACTTCTGTGCTAGTCACAGCTTGGCCATAACTAACACCATGTTCAAACATAAGGATGTCCACAGGTGCACTTGGCACCAGGACACCCTAGGTCGCAGGTCTATGATCGACTTTGTAGTCGTATCATCAGACCTGCGGCCGCATGTTTTGGACACTCGGGTAAAGAGAGGAGCAGAGTTGTCAACCGACCACCACCTGGTGATGAGTTGGATCAGATGGCGGGGGAAGACGCCGCGCAGACCTGGCAGGCCCAAACGGGTTGTGAGGGTCTGCTGGGAAAACCTGGCGGAAGAACCCGTCAAGATGATTTTCAACGCACACCTCCGGCAGAGTTTCGACCGCGTCCCGAGGGCAGTGGGGGACATTGAGTCCGAATGGGCCTTGTTCCGCTCTGCTATTGTTGAGGCGGCTGTTGCAAGCTGCGGCCGCAAGGTAGCTGGGGCCAGTCGTGGCGGTAACCCCCGTACCCGCTGGTGGACACCGGCGGTGGGGGAAGCCGTCAGGCTGAAGAAGGAGGCCTACAGGGCGTGGTTGGCCTGTGGGTCTCAGGAATCAGCTGACTGGTACCAGCGGGCCAAGCGGAGTGCAGCTGCGGCAGTTGCTGAGGCAAAAACTCGGACGTGGGAGGAGTTTGGTGAGACAATGGAGGAAGACTATCAATCGGCTCTAAAAAGATTCTGGCAAACCGTCCGGCGCTTCAGGGGGGGAAGGCGGCAACTCGCTCACACTGTTTACAGTGGGGGCGGGGAGCTGCTGACGTCAACTGAGGATATAGTAGGACGGTGGAAGGAATACTTTGAGGAGCTCCTCAATCCCACCAACACGTATTCCATGGAGGAAACAGAGCCAAGAAACCTGGGGATGGTGATCTAATCTCCGGGGCAGAAGTCGCCGACGTAGTGAAACAACTGCGCGGTGGCAGAGCCCCGGGGGTTGATGAGATCCGCCCTGGGTATCTCAAGGCTCTGGATGTTGTAGGGCTGTCTTGGTTGACACGCCTCTGCAACATTGGGTGGAATCGGGGGCAGTGCCTTTGGAGTGGCAAACCAGGGTGGTGGTCCCCATCTTTAAGAAGGGTGACCAGAGGGTGTGTTCCAACTACCGTGGAATTACACTCCTCAGCCTCCCTGGTAAGGTCTATGCCAGGGTAATGGAAAAGAGGGTCCGATCGATAGTTGAACCTCAGATTGAGGAGGAGCAATGTGGTTTTCGTCCTGGGCGTGGAACTGTGGACCAGCTCTTTACCCTTGCTAGGGTGCTGGAGGGAGCATGGGAGTTTGCCAATCCAGTCCACATGTGTTTTGTGGATTTGGAGAAGGCTTACGACCGTGTTCCCAGGGGCACCCTGTGGGGGGCACTCCGGGAGTATGGGGTGGATGGCCCCTTGTTAGTGGCCATTAAATCCCTGTACCAAAGGAGTGTGAGTCTGGTTCGCGTAGCCGGCAGTAAGTCGGACCTGTTCCCGGTGAGGGTTGGACTCCGCCAGGGCTGCCCTTTGTCACCGGTTCTGTTCATAACTTTTATGGACAGAATTTCTAGGCGCAGCCGGGTGGTGGACGGGTTTGGTTTCGGTGGCGGGAGGATCTCGTCTCTGCTTTTTGCGGATGATGTGGTCCTCCTAGCTTCATCGAACGCCGACCTTCAGCTCTCGCTTGGGCGGTTCGCGGCCGAGTGTGAAACGGCTGGGATGAAAATCAGCACCTCCAAGTCTGAGGCCATGGTTCTCAGCCGGAAACGGGTGGATTGCCCGCTTCAGGTCGGGGGGGAAGCTTTGCCTCAGGTGGAGGAGTTTAAGTATCTCGGGATCTTGTTCACGAGTGAGGGTAGGATGGAGCGGGACATCGACAGGCGGATTGGGGCGGCGTCAGCAGTGATGCGGACGCTGAATCGGTCCGTTGTGGGGAAGAGGGAGCTAAGCCGGAAGGCGAAGCTCTCAATTTTCCGGTCGATCTACGTTCCGATCCTCACCTATGGTCATGAGCTCTGGGTAATGACCGAAAGAACGAGATCGCGAGTACAAGCGGCCGAAATGAGTTTCCTCCGCAGGGTGGCCAGGCTCAGCCTTAGAGATAGGGTGAGGAGCTCGGTCATCCGGGAGGGACTCGGAGTAGAGCCGCTGCTCCTCCATGTCGAGAGGAGCCAGTTGAGGTGGTTCGGGCATCTGGTTAGGATGCCTCCTGGACGCCTCCCCGGGGGGGTGTTTCGGGCATGTCCCACCGGGAGGAGACCTCGAGGTCGACCAAGGACACGCTGGAGGGATTATATCTCTTGGCTGGCCTTGGAATGCCTCGGGATTCTCCCGGAGAAACTGGTGGAAGTGGCTGGGGAGAGGGCTGTCTGGACCTCTCTGCTGAGGTTGCTGCCCCCGCGACCCGGATCTGGATAAGCGGGAGATGACGA